CTGCTATTGTGTTGAGAAACGCAGTGTCCCTGCTTTCTCCCATGTATACATGTTATTAAACTTGGTATTATTTTCTCCTGCTAACCTGTCTTGTTGATTATTTGGCCAGCCAGAAGAACCTTAAGGGAAAGGGCAGAGGGAGATTCTCCCTCTTCCCCCGACATATTCATAAAACAAACCTTTACGCCCATGGAATAAGTAGTAATTTTCTTTTTTTAGGTAGAAATAATATGGAAACAAGTGAAACTAAGGTTCAATTTAGGGGTTCTTAAACCAATATAAACAAGCCCTGATTAATCAAACCCTGATTATCAGGACACCAGGCTTACTATTCCAGCCTATTGGTCATTTGACTTATTACTTAGTATCCTTACAACAGTGGCTGCAGAAAACAACAGGTAACTCAAACTAGTTAAGTATTGCCTCCTGTTGCAGCTGTGGGGGTGAGAAATTTGGAAGCAGATTATTTATAAAACACTATATAATTAATCTGAGCTTTTCCTGATCTGTAATACCATACACCAAAGTTGACTGTATATATTTTATACATAAAATGAAAACAGATAATGTGAGTATACCAGAAAAACAATAATATATGCTAACGTAAATACAGTAGGTTGGCAATAAATCATAACCCTCATCCACCCTTCTCTACCAGCCTCTGACCAAATAAGCAATGCTCCCTTTAAATGCTAATAAATTAATTTGGGCATTATAAATTTCAGAACTCTTTAAATAAACTGCTGGTCTGGTTCAGGAAGATCCTAATGAAATCTTAAAACAGTCTCTAAGAAACCATATCAACTGTGACCAACAGAAAGCATCTTTGGAAAAAAAGTAGAATCAGACACCCAACTGAAAATTTCACCTAATAATATTAAACATAATCCTATGAGCATAATACCAATAGATGTCCTTTTTTCAACATATAGGACATTGTTTACCTAAGTAAACAACTACAGAATAGGTCTGCTTTTTAAAAACTTTTTTCTACCTATATAACTAGAAGTCATTTGTTGGGGCCTACCCAGAATCAATCTCCCCTTTCCCTTTCCCGACAATACCTAGTGTAACTGAAATGTAGGCGAACGTGGGGGAATGGCGCCCCACTAAGAGAAATCAGGAAAAATTAAGGTAAATAAGGTTTTCTATGTCATCCTAAGGACTTCTAACTTTCTCTAAGCAATGATAAACCACCGAAAGATTTCAAAAATAGAATCACAGGATTTCTTCTGAATTATAAAGATCTTGGTGACAGTGTTGAAGATGGGGGTGAGGTGAGATTGGAGGCAGAGCCGTCAATTAAGAGATAATTATGAGTACTTAATTAAAGGGAGAGGTGACTTTGGAAGGCAACTGGCAGTAAACAGAAATGCATATATCCAGCAATTTCATTTCTAGATATAAACCCAGAGAAATAACCCTACACAACGCACAAAGACATTGTCTAGAATGTTCACTGTGCTATTTGTAATAAAAAAATTGGTAAAAACTTCATTGACCACCAATAGAGGAATGAATAAATACTGATGGAATATCATACTATAGTTAAAAGGAATGAATTAGACCTATGTATATCGTCATGGCTAGATTTCAAAAATAAAATGAAAAAAATTAAGTTGCAGAAAAATGTATACTGCAGTATGTTATTTATCTAAATCAAAACACATAAAACAGCATTATACATTTTCTGTTTACCTACAATGGCTACATTTGAGGGCTTTCTCCGCACCAGGTATTGTTCTAAGCACTTTGGACTAACTCATTTATTCCTCATGACATCCTTATGCCATAGGCACTATTATCTCATTCTACAGATGAGGAAACTGAGGCATGGAGCCTAGGGATCTTCTCAAAGACCTACAGATAGGAAGTGACAGGGCAAGGATTCAAACCTAGGCAGTCTGGTCCAAAATAAAAAAAGGAAAGCTGTAAAGATTCATGCCAAATCCCTCATGACTGTTTACTCTGGAGAAGGGGATAGATATCAGGGCAAGGGAGTGGAGCCAGAGGGAGACTCTAGCTATACCTGAAATGTTACTTTTTTTAATACAAATAATTCAATAATTTTTATTCAAATAATTTTTAAACAATGTGTTCATTTTCCCCCACAAAAAATGTAAACATAAAGAAAAGTCTGGGGAGAAAGACGCTAAAGTGTCAATCATGGTTGACTACGGATGGTGGGAATATGGGGACTGTTCTTACAATTTCTTTGTAGTTTTCAGTATCTTTCAATTTTTAAAAAAAGGAGTACTATTGAATGCAAAACTACTTCCTTTCAATTTTTTAACCGACAACCATGAAATTTGTTCTAGTACGTTATAAATCTAAATCTTTCTCGACTTAGGCACTTATTGACCTTTTGCACTAGAGAATGGTCGTGGGCACTGTCCTGCGCATTGCAGGGTATTTAACAGTATCCTTGGCTTCTATTCACTAGATGCCAGGAGCAGGCCCCCTCCAAGTTGTGACAACCAAAAATGTCTCCAGACATTGCCAAATGTCCCCTGGGAGGCAAAATCGCCCACCCACTACCCCCCATTAGAGAACAACCACTTGAATTAAACTGCAAGATGCTTTACATCTCAACTTTATATAACTTTTAGTTTAAAGATTTCAAAGACATTCCTGGTTAAGTATCTCACACTGGAAGTGGGAAAGAGGCTGCAGGGGTGAGGAACCTTTCTAGCGAAATCCCCGAATATAGTAAGCACTTAAAGTCTAGTTATCATTCCATAGAATAACGGACACAAGCCCCGGGAAGCCCGCTTCCTTCCCGTTTTCCCTCAATGGGGGGGGGGGGGCAAGGAGAGCAAACCCAGTCCCGCCGCTCCCTCCGCGAAAGCCAGGGAAGAGAAGACGCGCCGGCCCTACCTTAGCACGCGGGGCTCTGCGTCCGATAGCCGCCAAACTTCCGACGTCCCACGCACGCGCAGCGTCCCGCGGCTCCAAACCTCCCGCCTGCGCGCTGCATCCTGGGAGGCCGGGGCCGGAGGCGGCAAAGAGCGCAGAGAAGGCGGAGCCCGCCGAGCCTGCCAGGAGACGGTTGCCAAGAGAGGCTGAGAAGGCGGGGCCACCAGGGAATGTTGTGAAAGCGAAAAGCAGGCGGAGCTCTCTCACGCACCCGCGATCCCTTGGCGGGTGGGGCCGGGACGGGGACGGGTCTGCAGTGCAGGGGACGTCGGGAGGCGGGGCACAAACGAGAAGCGAATGGGAGGCCAGGCTGATGGCCTGGTCCCGCCTCCAGGCCCAGGCGGCCGCATCGGATTGGGCAGCGTGGCGACGCTTCCGCCCGCCTTCCGGTGTCACGCGACCGCCTCCACCTCCCGCCCTTCCTTTTCTACCTTGGGGCCGGCCGGGCCGGTGTTGAGTGAGGTGTTTGGACGGCAGCTGTGGAAGTGGCAACGGTGACCATGGCCGAGGTGAGAAGCCGACCGCACCGCTACCGGCAGCCCCCGCTCCTGGACCTGGAAGTCGCCTCTGAGGCCCAGGGGCCGCGCGCCTAGGTGCAGGCGGGCTGGTCTGAGGGGAAGCGGGATGGTGCGCTTGGTGTCTAAGCGTCTCTTCGTGTCTCCTTTCCAGTATCACTCCCAGAATAAAGCCAGGCTCATTTCTGAGATCCGACGGAGGTTCGAAGCTGAGTATGTGACAGGTGGGTACCGCGTTCTCGGCGTTGAGGCGGGTATGCGGTGAGTGTCCCCAACTTTGCTGGGGTGTTTGCGGGTGTCTCTGTGGGAGGCTTTAGGGACCATTTCGACCCTCATAGGGACGGTGCCCTGCACATTTCCAAGGTTTTCTTCTCCGTAACCTGCCATGCACGCTGCTCCGATTGGGCAGGTGATGCGGCCGTTGCTTCCTTTAAAGGGTTAATGTAAGTTGGAAATCGGTGAGTTTCTAGCATCTCGAGTTTATGGAACTTGGGGCACTTGTTAGGCCCACGGCACAGGTGACACTGTCCAGGCCACGGTTTCTCTACTGACCTTTCACCAGCAACAATGGAGAAAATGAACCTAGAAACTGCCGTAATACTATTCACGTGTACTTAATTGGGGATCCAAATTCCTTGGATATTTTGCCTAATTCCACTTCATACAACCCAGCATGCCACCCACGGAGTAGGCCCTCCAGTGCTGGAACAAGTTTTTGTCTTTTCGTCCCACACTGTACCTAGCAAAGTACCTGTGAGTCCAGAATCGATTTATTGGTTGAATATTTTGTGTCCAAATGTCACAGATACTTGACTTGTCCGACATTTAACTCATGATTTAATCCTTGTACAGTAGGTTTTTAAAACATGGAGGATAACTTATCATGAATATGGAATAAATATTCTAATCCTGGCCCTGCCACTTAATAGCTTACTTGTGTTTTCTGAGCTCTGTTTCCATAATTGTGAAATGAGACAATTAGGATTAAATGAAAGAGCATATGTCACACTGTCTGGCATGGGGTTAGCATATACTAGGCTCTCAATGAATATTTTGCCTTAATAGTCATTTTGCTTGCTGTGAAAGGAGTTAAGCTTCCATGTCTTGACTTCGGTGCTAAGCAGAGGTTCCCTGCAACTTTAGACTGCCCTAGATTATATGTCAGTTGATGACCCAGAACGAGTAAGGAAATCTATTCCAAATAACCTGGTCAGTAAATCTTTTCATCCCTCCCTGTCAATTTTCTTCACATCCCAGACTTTGCACCAGAGAGTTGCAAAAGCACTTAATTCACTTTTAGCCCAGAGATTTCATTTCTAATAATACAACTGGTTCCAGTAAAGAGATAATTCTAAAATTACTTTCTGTAGAAATGTAGCTCTTATAGCTACATGGTTTATAATATTTTAAAAAGTAACCCAGAACTTGACCTAATGAGCTAATGTCTCCCCAGTAGTCATTTACTTATGCCTAAGGGAGGAAGCAGAATATAGTCATAGAAATTTAGCAATAGACAAGATCTTAGAGGTCATCTTGGTCCAACCTTCTCATTTTTAAAATGAAGAAAGTAAGGTCTAGAGAGATTAAGTGGTTTGCTCAATATCCCTGGTGTTAGTGGCTAGGCCAGGACTGGTGCTCAGGTCTTCTGAATTTCACCATAGTAATCTTTTGGCAACACCATCATGTCGAATTAGATCACGTCACTCCCCAGCTTGAAATCCTTCAGCACCTTCCCACTGTGTTTAGAATAAAAATCCCAATTCTTCATGGTAGCCTACAGTGCAAGGCCATGCATACCCTAGCTCTTGCTCACCACTCCATCCTCATCTTTTATTACTCTCCTTGCTTAGTACAGATTTTACTATTGCCTACAGTAAGAAACGTATTATACGTTGCAATTTAGTACACACTCATGTGCACACACATAGTTCATTAAAGAATACTTATTCTGAAAACTATGACTCCCTGATGCAGTGACCCGCAAAATTGGCATCACAACCTACAAACGTGACCCAGTTTGAAAAACATAACCAGCCACACTGCCTCTTTTATGTTCTTCAAACAGACTGAGTCTGTTTCCATCTCGGGACCTTTCCACTATCTCTGCCTGGAAGGCTCTTGCCCAGGTAGTGTGCATGGCTAGGTCCTTATTTTCTTTTTCATCTTGGTTTAAATGTATCTGAGAAGCCTTTGCTGATTATTAAATAGCCTCCCTGTCTTCTTTGTTTTGTCTCCTTTTCAGCTCTTACCATAACCTGTAATTATCTCGTTCATTTGTTTACTTGCTTATTGTTCATAACTCCAGTAGAATGTTTAGGGGTCTGGGGCAACCTGTGGACATTGAGGGCAGAGTCTGACTTGCCTCAGTATATCTACCACAGTTCTCAGTACATACTCATTGAATGAATATAGCAATGCTTAAATACATACCTAGGGAGATTAGTCCAAGTCTGTAGTAAAAGCTGTCCTAACTGGCTCCCCTCCCCCACCAAAATCTGGCAAAGAACAGCCCTCAGACTGTTTCATAAGGACAAGAGTTATTTCAAAGTAAAGCACTGTATGGTATTAAGTATAGGGAGGGTTTTGTCCTTAAATATACACACTTGGGTATGTGTGAACGCACATGGGTGGGTTATCTGCACAGCTGTTGTAAATATTAATTTAACGCCGTGCATGGGAAAGGAAAATAAAAACCTTTGAAGACTTTCTCCCCTTAAAGTTTCAGTTGTTTCCTGAAATATAGCCTCAGGTAAGGGTAGAGTAGGAAAGTGGTAAAAAGGGTTTTTTGATTTGCCTGTGTTCTCTCTTTCAAGTTTACTTTTTAGAAGTTAACTCAGGTATTTAGAAATTAACTCAGGAACACCCACTTTCTTCTTTCATTTCACCCTTTCTATTGTCATTAACAGTATTTTGTTTCAGAAGAAGCTTAAGGCAGACTTAAGCAAACATGATTTTTTTAAAGGAAAATACTATTATCTGCAAGTATATCACTTTAAGCACTTGCTGTACTCCAAAAACTCTTTTGGAGGTAGGTTCTTGGGAATTCCAAGCACATTTTTGTTTCCGTAGGAATTATAGACAGATTCGTAGCTGGCAAAAAGGATAAAATACAAGTCCATAATTGTTTTATGCATTACTAATGGTGTTTTTTTCCTCATTGTTTCTGTGAGAAATTCCATACTGAGTCTCAAATGAGAAACATTTCCCATTATCTCTTCTTCCTTCTTGTGCCCAAGGCAAGAGGTTAATCCCTTGTGACAATAATTTATTCAGTTCCTCAAATACTCATTATGTGCTTAATTCTGGGAAGCAGTGTGTCAATTTTAGAGAAGAGCTGAAGAAGGATAGAGCCCCTTCCTAACTACTGGAATCTAGAGAAACGTTAAAACAGAGCTAACTATTAAAATTAAGGCAAGTTGTATCAGGAGTAATAAGATTGTTAAATCATTTCTGTAGGAGTCAAAGACAAGGAAAAATCACATCTGGTTGGGGTGACTGGGTTAGCATGGAGTTAGAAAAAACTTCATAGAAAAGGTGGTGTTTCTCATGAACTTTGGAAGATAGTAAAACTCGGCCAGATAGAGAATGTGATCCAGGTGGATCAAACGGTCTGAGCTGAGGCACTGAAGTGAGAAGGTGTGGGGCATGTTCAGGAAACCATAGGAAGTCTCCTTTGATGAGCCTTAAGGAGGGTAAGCTATTGGGAGGTTTGTGGGTCTTGTTATTTTAGGTTTGTTTTCTGACTTTAGAAGTATATGAATTCATTTAAATGAATTTGGATGATACCCAAAAAGTCTGAAGAATCTTCCATACACTCACCATCCAGAGATAGCTCTGCTAACAGTGGATGCATTTTTTCTGGTCTTTTGTTCTATACATTTAAAAAAACATTTAAAAGACAATTCTGTATGTAATTTTGTGTTACATTTTTTATTGACATCTTATTTCATATTTATGAAGTAAGCAACGTTTTGCATTACAATTTAATATTCAGTTCTATAAATAAAAGATAATTTTCTTTTATTTTAAATAGTCCCTTTTTGGACATTCCAGTTTTTTGTTAATACATTTTTTTGTGCAATAGTTCAGATTATTTCCTTAAGATTCATGTCTAGAAGAATTATTGGTTTTTAAGCGTGAATATTTTTGAGACACTTCACGTGTGCTAAACTTTCCTCTACAGAAGTCGCACGGAGATTCATTCCCACCAGCATGTATGAAAGTGTTAGTCTCACCAGAGCCTTACCCATATTTAGTGTCATGATTTCTTAACTGATGGTTGTTTTAGTTTGCATTTGATTACTAGTGACAGTAAACTTGTTTTCATTTGTTTATATCCATTTGTAGTAAAAAAAAATTTTTTTTCATTAGTAGGCTTTTAAAATTGGTTTGGGCTTTTCTTATTTATGTCACTTTCCCTTTTTTCATTTTTTGAATGTATTCAAAATTACCCTTTGTGGTTTCTTCCACTGCTGTTAAGTTAAATTAATTTTCTCTCATCCAATAATTTTTTCTAGTCTTTTAATTTTTGTTTTGGTTTATTTTTTAATTTTGAAATATCTTTTATGTACAAAATATATAAAACATGAATAAAATAAACACGCATGTACTCACTACTCATCCAAAGAAATAGAATTCCCTGTCATTCATATTGTCAAATATAACTGTAATTGATTCCTTTTTATAGCTCTGTAGTAGTTAATGGAATGAAAATACCAGTTGATGGATTTGGGGTTGTTTTTTAGGTTTTGCTATTATGTACAGTGCTGGTATTAACATTCTTATACGTATCTGGTGCCTGGACTTTCTCTAGGGCAGTGGTTCTCAAAGTTTGTCCAGGAACTGTAGTTCCTTGAAACCATTTCAAGGAGCTTGAGAGGTCAAAACTGTTTGCATAATAACACTAAAACATCATTTTTCTTTTCGCTGTCATTCTGTCACAAGCATACAGTGGCATTTTCCAGAGGTTACATGGCGAGTGATAATGTCATTGCTCTGATGGCTGATAGAATGTGTGCTTGTGTGTTCTCGTGTTTCAAAATTTTTCTCAGTTTTGGGGCCGGCCCGGTGGCACAGGCGGTTAAGTGTGCGCGCTCCACCTTGGCGGTGCCGGGTTCCCCAGTTCCGTTCCCCGGGGGCTCACCGACGCACTGCCATGCTGTGGCGGCGTCCCATAAAAAGTAGAGGAAAATGGGCGTGGATGTTAGCCCAGGGCCAGTCTTCC